TCACGGACCGGTTTTTGTTAAAATCAGAAAAAGCGATCTTACAACTCTGGGGAACCAGAGATGAAAACTAGAACTCTGTGTCATTCCCAAATTTCGGATCTGTTGTCCAGCAGTCCCTAAAGGACACTGAACCCTGAGAGATATCCCCAAATGAACTCAAACGGAAGTTATTAGCATGTATTTCACTCTTGACGATAGCCTTTCAAAATACACGTGAACACACACACACACACACACACTGAATATGGTGACGCAACTTCCGTAAAGCAGGACTTTGAGAAGTGAACACTCCTGGTCAATTTCATATGAATTTATGAATCCGGTGACTGGACACCCTGAGCTACACAAATCAAGTGGGTGTGCATAAAGTCATCATCGTTTCAGAAAATTTCCTCTTCAGACGGAACACGTCTTGATTGGCAGAGAACCACACGGTGGTTTCTTTCAACTGAAACGTTTTTCTTAGCAACGAAGCACTGTTTGCACAGAATTTAAACAGGAAACCAGCCACCAAACCTGGCTGTTGACCCAGCAGAATGACCCGGATTCACCTCTCTCTTTGGGGGACCTTGGAAACATGAATGCCACTCTACCCACTGGCATCGAACCTTTGTACACGTGGCCTCGACTCAAACAAAACAAAAACTACCTTGGGAACAGAATTAACTTGGTTAAGTTCACCATCCATCACCACGCAGCCTTTATCTTCTTTTCAGGACACCCAGATCTGTCTCCCTCGCCACAGTAATGATTACACTACGCACGTGGAAGTTTGTGTAAGAGTCATTCTCCTCCAGGGCGCATTCTCCTTTTGGGGTATGAGACGCGGACTCCTCCACTTGGAGAAGGGGTGTGGAACTCCCTACCCTCTTCCGATGAATCCATACTCAGACCTTACTACTAAGATGGCAGAATAGGTGTGGAAGCAAAGAAGATGCCTAGCTCGTCATGGCTCGCTCAAGAGAGCCCTCGTGGAGAGTTATATGTGGGTTTTAATCCACGGCCGACTACTGGCTGTGCGGCTTTTGCCATCACTCACAAGTTTTCAGTCTCCAATTCTCCCACAAGAAGCCATCTCTTTACCCACCTCCCAGGGTCCCTGGGCAGCTTTGTAAGAGGTGAGGGCTACGAAACGTGCCCAAGATGCTGTGCGTATCCGCAGTGCCTACCGCATGTAATTAATCCGTGCCGGTTACACGTGAACATGCCCCACGCTGGGCACCCCAGCTGGACCTGTTTCACAAAGCACGGAAGAGAGTCACGGCACGGGAGGAACGCAGGATGGCTGAAGGACCCTTCCTTCGGCGCACATGAGGGGAGTTGAGTATCTCTCAAGAAATCTACAGGTCATTCCTGCCTGCAAGAGCAACAGGGATTTCTTGCTAATTAAAGTATATTAAGGATGCCCTATGTCTTGAATTACTACACAGCTTATAACATATGGTGAGCTAATTATCTACCTCTCTAGCCATAGAAACGTCTTCCCAAGACAAATTTTATCCCTAAAAGAGTCAATTAGGGTGAGGGATCGTGGTGGAGGGCACGGTTATATATTCCAAGCCATCGCTCTCTTCAATTTGGAAGTACACACTTGTAATCCTGATGCATGGACCTGAATGCAGCTAAGCAGACCACACTTGAGAGGACCAAGAAGCAATCAAGTGCCTCCCCCTTAGGTCCCCGTCATTCGTGTCTTCCAATCTGAAGCCAGCATCTCGAGAACAAACCCTTGAGCAGAAACCATTTCAGTCCCCAGGCTCAGAGACAGAATATAAATGTTAGAAATGAGCGTTTAAATCCTTTTCCTCATCGCCTCTGACAAGTGCACTGAAGGGGAGCTGTATCCCCCCGAAAACTGTTTCCACAGCAACCCACTGAAATAAGGCACTGGTTTCGACTGGGAAATTCTGATGCCAAGGCACCTGAGTCAATCTCACAGACACTGTCATTGCTTGGATGAGCTGTCCCTGCTTCTGATGAGCCCCAAATGCGTGTCTCACAAAGCTGGTGAGACCTGCCCCAATGATTCAAGACACTCTGGTCAATGAGATAACTCATATAAATGTGTCTCTGGATCCCTGAAAACAAAAGTTTATAGAAATGGTATTGTCACCGTGGGTTATGATTCTCTGGTGTCACATTAAGGCAATTCTCTGAAGAACCGTGGACATCAGCCTTCAGCAGATCAGACATGTACCATGTAACACAGGAAGACAGTGTCACCCAGGGGAGACTTTACGGAGATGCTTTAAATCGTTGAATCATCAGATAACAGATGCAGAAGTTTTTTTGAGAATGGCCTCGTGGTAAACACATGGCAGCATGGTCACTAATACTGACCATCTGTGCAGTGCTCCAACGTGGGCAGTGGTCATTCACTCTACAGTCACCTCTTTGAAGACTAAACCCTTAAAAAACCCAAAAAAACCTCAGTAACCAGAACCTCCACTATGGTGTTGCTAGAACACCCGAATCTCTACTTCTGGAAGAAAATGTAAGAAACGCCGACGTAATCAAGAAAAACTGGCTGGGCTTCAACATCCCGAAGCTGATCAAATTCGCTTTGCCGCCCTCCTAAAATCATACGCTGAGGAACTCATGAAAACGTCTTGTAATCATATAAATATTCAAAGTCTGTATAGATTCAATCTTTTTCGTCCAAATACCACATGGAAAAAAAAAGTGATTCACCCTGCAAGCTGAGCAACATTCTTGATCTCTGTCATTTTGCATTGAGCTCTGAAGTATTAATCTCCTCCCTGCATGTTTCTGAGAGATGGCTGTAGACGGAGAGTGGTCCAGCTATACTGGCAAATTTGCCAAACAGCAGACTTTTTTGTGCGTTTTGGCTTAAGAGGATAGGTTTGACCTCCGTGGAACACCGTTCTACCTTGGAACGGCCCCTCTCTTGTTTATAAGACACTGCAAGTTTAACTGGCGAGGTGAAAGCTTTGTCAACCATGCAGACTGGGACCGAGGGCTGAGTCATGACATGAATGGAGTGTCACAGTCAGATATTAAAAAAACAAAAAGAAAGAAACAGAACAGTATCAGGTGGAACGCATCAGAAGTGATCACTCTACAGAGAAAATAAAATCATTTCAGGAAACTTGCGTTTCAGTTAAACACCTCTTGGGGAGGTACAGTGTTGTCACCTTCGAGCTACCCAGCAGGGATTTCCACAGAGAGGACTGGCACTCTCCACTTTCAACTGACACCCCAGGATCTCCCAACACAAAGTCTGAGGAATCGCAATTCTGCAGCTCCAGTCAAGAGCGTCTCCCCTCTCCCTTTCTTGGTCTACCTGTGGGAACTTCTAATGACCCAATTTCACTTGCCACCACGTACTAAGCTATTAAAGGCAACCCCACCACGGACAGTCCTGAGCAAGTGCCGTGCCCAGGATGTGGGTGGCCGCCCCAGGGATGCCCACCTCTGGCGTTGCGGGCAGATGGCTCGGCTTACCGAAGGCATGATGACCCAATGGTACCTCCACATGCAAAATCACAGACATAGATGTTCACGAGCATGACGGCCAGGTAACACCTCCCCCTTCTCTAAAGAGTCGAATTACGTTACATCATTCAACGCACCATCTTAGAGGTTTCCCCACTGTCTGCTGCCTGAACAGACCTGCTCTCACGGGCGTAGCAAGGACCCACCAAGATCAAACATCTGATTTCCACATCGAGTTTCCATCTTTGTCTATCGACAGTCGTCTCACGTTACAAAGGGAACAAAACATTTTGTTTGTTTTTAACAGCCAGTGTTACTGAGAGAGACTTGTGTCAGTGTCTCTGTTCCTGGTCATCCCCTTGGCTGACTGCAGCCCCCCAAAAGTATAAACTCAAGCAGCTCTAACAGACCCCAGAGGGATCACCCAGTGCCCTCACGGGGTGGTTTTGCTCAGAAACGTGCCTAGAACACTTGGCTCTCTCCACATTGTTCACATCACGAGGGCAACGTCTACAGTCAACAACGCACAGTTCCTTTTCCTCTCTTGCTCGCCCATTGGAAGATTCAAGACTGTGTTGATACACAGTCCCCTCTTCCCACAGCTGTCATCCCACAGAGCTTCTTGGGGTGTGGCTTCACAAGCACAGGACATGGGGAAACTGGCAAAGTGTCTGTGGGGAGAGCCTACAGCATCGTTATTCCTGAGACCAGCCCCCCAGCCCCCAACACGTGCCATTTCATTTCCCCCATCCGTCCTGCAGAGAGCCAGGCTGGGGAAACCCACTAAGCATGGGAGGGGAAACATGCTGAGGAGGACCACCCCGTGCTTCTGTGAGAGCAGGAAGACAGCCAGACATGAGCAGAGAAAGGGGGACTCAGGCCAGATGGCAGGAATTGGGCAAAAAGAGAGGCAGGGGGACAAATACAGGAAAACCAACATCATGTAAGCACCAGGGGCCCCGTGGGCAGAGAAAGGAAAGCAGGAACCTCTGGGCTGATGAGTGGTCACACATTGTAGGCTGGCAAGTGCCCTGGAGGCTGACAAAAAAGGGGGAAAAGGGCAGGAATCTGCAGTGTCCGAATGTAGCCTTCTGCTCACTATGCCCTCATTACAACAAAATTAGCCTTGCAGATTAGAAGCACCCATCACGCACCGCCGCCGTGACACTTGTGATCCAGATTAAATAAGGACGAAAATCTCTCCCACCCTCGAGAAGGTGGAGTTGGGATGAAAATCAGGGAATAGGACCCCACACCCTTCCCCCCTCAATGTATTCGGCCCACTCATTTTTACACCCTGTGTAACCAACCTGCCGAAGAAACTCAGGGCAGCCGCTCACCTGAGCCTGCCCGCTCTCCCCTTGAGAGCGTCCTATCACTTCACACATCCTCACTTTACTTTCTTGACCTCTGTGTCCTATCTCTGATTTCTCTCTGCGGAGAGACAAGAACCCCATCTCCGGCAACACCCCCTCCCCCGTGGAGATACCCGAAATCACGTGTTCTGTCTCGCTGGCAGCATGGGGACCGGAGGCGACACCCACCGTTGTAGGAACTGGGCCGCGTCCGCCGTCAGCCGCTGCGTGAGGTTGTCGTAGGACATGGGCTGCTGGCTGATGTCGTGGTCCCTCATCAGGAAGCAGTTCAGGGGCCGGAAGTAATGGAGGAAGGCCAGCAGGAGGACGAGGATCAGGGCGGCCAGGAAGAGGAGGCAGAAGAAGGCGGCAGGGGGCACGCGGAGCAGCCCCAGGTACTTGAGCACCGCCAGGGTGAGCAGCGTGATGCCGATGACCTGCAGGGGCGAGAAGACCAGCAGCTGGAAGGCCGCGGTGAAGACAGTGCCATCTCCAGGCTTGCAGTCCCTCAGGTTGGTCACCGGGAGCCCGTGGAAGTAGTCGAAGCCGTGGCTTAAGGGGTGGTGGCAGAAGTCGGTTCTGTTGTGACAGCTGGTCCCCAGGTGCCACTTCCCTGAGCAGAGAAATGGGCGGCACGTTTAGTCCCAGTGAACACCCTGACGTGAAGGAGCACTTCCGGCTCCCACGCACAGCAAAGCGGGCTCTTTCTGCACATCCATCCGCCAAACCCTACCCGACCACGTTCACTTCCTTTCCCACAAACAGTCCTTTCCCTCCACCCATCATCCATTTCATCGACTGAACTATCCATCCCTGTCTCCATCACCTATCTCACCTATCTTCCCATCTGTCACCCATCCATCCACACACACACACAGGTAAGGACGCCCATCTACACACTCAAATAGCACACACAGGCATGGTGCTTTGATTTAGAACTGAAATCATGTCTTCCCTATTTACAGTTGTGCAAACTGTGTCAGCAGCGTCACCCTTAAGAAGGCTGCTCTCGCGCCCTCCCCACTCTCGCACTCATCTCGTCCCGGTCCTCGCCTCCCCCTCCGCGGCCCGTACCTATTAGAGCTGTTGAATAGCCTTCCGTCTTCAGAAGCTTAGCAAACGTAATCTCACTGCGGGGAAGTCCTCCCGAAGAGGCCGAGAAGAGGAAAACCCCCACCTGGGACTGAGATGCCATCCCTGAAGCAGGAGAAATCAGCCATTAAGACGGGAGAGCCATCAAGACTGGTTGGAGGACCAGGGCCACAGTGACGGAGCCGGGAGGTTACCTGATCGGATGGGATAGCGGCCGGTCAAGAAGGCCGCCCTGCTGGGTGTGCACAGGGGGGAGGCCGCCAGGTGCTGAGTGAGTTTCACCCCCTCGCTGGCCAACCGGTCAATGTTGGGAGTCCTGGAACAAGAGACTCGCGTCATCCATCGTGACCTCGGAAAGAAAGCCTTCTCTGTGGCTTCGTAAAGCGAGTCACTTCTCAGGAACGTGGGGACGCTGAGGGCTGAGTGCAGTTGGGGAGGGGAGGGGAAGGGGAGCAGTGACACACAGCCAAGGTTCAGAGAACAAAGCCCCGCAGGGGACAACGGGGTCCAGGTCTGCCCGCTCCAGGGGCCCGACCCCACCCTGGGAGGTTCTGAGCTTCAGTTCCCCGAGGCCTGGTTTACAAGCGAGGACCCGAGTCTTGAGAATGGGCTGCTGTGAGGAGGGGGAGGGAGATGGGTCAAAGTCTCACCCTTCCCTCACCTGGGTCCCCTACCCTGTTCCCTTGTGCCCCCGAATGAAAGCTCTGGGGGCAGCCTGGCTCTTCTCTTCCCAACCACAGTCAAAGAGCAGGTCCGACCCAGCTGTCACCTGCTCTGTCTAATTTCCATGTGCCCCCAGGAAGAAGGGGGCGGTGAGGGAATTCCCTGGAGAAAGAGAGAATGGGGCCCACGTGCACCGACCAGTGGCCGGTAACAAACGGGCTCCCAGACTCCAGGACAGATGGACACATGCCAGTGTGAAACCACGACATGCGGTGAGTCACGCACACCCTCGTGGGCTCAGGGCTTTTAACACAAAATGAACCCCTGTTCGTGGGCTCACTTCTAGGATGACATGTTACGTAAGACACACCATCCTGGGGCCTCTTCTCCAGGAACGGCTGGGCCCAGAACCGCAGGAAGTCATGCCTGACCCCTCAGCACTGAGAAACGGAGGTCCGTCAGGTCTGCGACCAGGCCGAGAGGCTATCCCGCATCCCCCGAAGGGAACCCCGGCCCTTGCCTCTCTGCCAGGCTCTACGTCTTCTACACTTCAGTTCTGAGTGCAGATGTGACACCTCCCTCCCCACGGCCTCCTTGTCCGCTGGGAGGGGCCTGTCTCACGTGGAGAAGGTCCCTCTGTAGCCCCCACCAAGGTAGCCGCCTCCCGGTAACGGGATGGCGTGGCTCACCTCACTCCCCGCAAGACGGCTGCCTGAGGGGTGGGGGCCCGCATCTCGTCCCTTGCGGAACCTGTCTGTGCATCTGACTTAAACCTCCCAGTGCCTAGACTGGGCACCGAGAAATTTGATGATTCGACGCTGTGATGCTATAAAATGTAAAATGAGAAAACATACTTCAGAAAGCAGCAGGCTCTAGGAGGGGGAGGGAATAGCTCAGCGGTAAGGTTCTTGCCTGGCATGCACGAGGTCCTGGGTTCAATCCCCAGTACCTCCATTAAATGAACAAATAAACCTGATAACACGCATCTCCCACCTCCCCGCAAAATAAAAAAGAACAACTAGAAACCAGCGGACTCTCATACGGAGAGCAAGACAGATTTAGGGTAATACGGACGTGAATTCTTTTCTGGGATTTTATAGCTTTTTTTTTGTTTTGTTTTCTTTTGGTAACTTGTAGACTCTGAACCTTAAAGGCTTGACTGCAACTTTGTAATTAAGACAGCTTAGTAGGGAGAATCACCTGCTACCTCAGCAAACTTGAGGACTATCATGTCGAATATTACACTAATATCTTGTGCTATTTAAAAATAATACTTCAAATGAAAAAAAGAGAAGTCATCATGACGTTCATTAAAAAATTAAATTAATAACAAGGTTCATGTCAAAAAATGCCAGTGAGAGCTAAACTTTTCACAAAATGAGGCAAAAGTTGGGGAAAGAAACATACGTGGTCTGCTAAAATTTTAAGAGAACACTGAATACTTGTTTTTTTAAAATCTAACAAGTGTCATAGGTCAGCACACATCTTAAATAAGAAGGAACATGTGATGCACAGATTCGGGTGGGAACTGACACACGTCTGGCTGCGTCTCACTCGCCCGCTCTCCTCCAAAGAATAATTCACTTCATTTTGTTTGATCTGACAGTAACACGGAAACGCAGTTCCCCAGAGGCACAGTCATGCTGGTAAGACGATGAGGGTTCCCAGGGAACAAAGTGACAAAAAATCCGACCGTGCGACCCTTAGCTGTCCATCGTCCCGAACTTCAGAGTAATTATTCACAGATCTTACAAGAAAATTCTAGTGGAACCCTCCTCTCCTTTAATTCCGTTCGCAATAGTCATGTGCGACATGAAGCCCTGCAAAGACTCAGCATTATGTCAACCCTCCTCCGTGATCATAAAGAGATTTAAAAAACTTAAGGGAAAGTTAAAAAAGAAAAAAAAGAGAGAGGGAAAGTGCAACGCTAATGCCAATATTCTTCTGCAAAAGGACCGACTTCGATTCTAAACCAAAGGGACCCACGCAACGCCGTCCTCGGTCCCTGAGCCCGGCTCCTGTTGTGTGTTTTGTTTTCCTCCCACTGCCGTCTGCCCTGGCCCTTGGAAAGTTCTGTCATCATCAAACGTGCCCCGTGTCCTTGGGACAGCTGTCCCCAGCCTGCCCATCCAGAACAGCCTGGGCCAGAGCGGGAAGCAGGTCGAGAGGTGCGAATGAGCAGTTCAGACGCCGGGTGGCACGGGGCCCCACTGGGACCAGAGCCACACGCCGAAAAAGAAGACAAAACACAGGAAGTGAACCAAACGGAGTTAAAACGAGAGTGTGAAAAAGCAGCGTAGTAGCGGCGAGGAAGAAAGAATGACTGTGAATGTCTCCCCAGCGAGCCTTTGGAGTTTATCCAACTGCCAACGGTGATTCAAACAGGAAACGCCTTCACACCTCCCTTCCTGACGCCCGTACGTGTGAAGTCACACACCCAGGTGTGTAGTCTGGGGGCGTTAAACGTCCCCACGTGGCCTGTGCCCTGCGAACTTGTGTCCCCCATCACGGGGTGATGCCCTACGAAGGGAGGCCTGTGTTCATATGGCAGCCGCTTCGCCCCACCTGAGGGTCTTGTTTCCATAGCAACCAGGATCCCCAATGCCAAGGTCGTCCGCCATGAACAGGACGAAGTTGGGCCTTGACTTCGCACGGCTCCGGGCCCCACACAGGAACAGGATCACGAGCAGAAGGGTCCTCATCTTCCTGCAGAGGGCAGAGGGGAAGAGATGCGTGAGGGGTGCTGGCGGCGTGAGGGGGACACTTCTCCTTCTCTGGGACCCTCCCCTCTCCTTCTAGAAGAGGGTGCTCTCTACCTGCACCCCACCAGCCCCGGACCATGTGGGCTCCAAACTGAATTGTAGCCTCTCTTCCCTGCGTGGTTGTTTCCAAAACCAAACATGCCCTTCTCCCTGGATCGCCGTGCAACCTCTCCTTTCTATCCGAAACTGAAATGCAGACTCTGTCTGGAAAAATGAAAGCACAACCATGTCTTTACGGAAGGCGGGCTCTGTCACCCGCTAACCGTGGAAAGACAGTCATTCTAGGGCCATCAAACTCTCAATGTGAAATGCTTTCTAAAATTAGCTGTAAGTGTCAGACTAGCAGCCTTTACAAGGCAACATGTACACGTGGGCCTGACGCAAACCTTTCCAAACTCCAGGGACGCAAAGTTCAGAGCCTGGGTTGGCTCTGGGCGCCAGCTCACGGAAGGCAGCCAACACACCGGAGGAGGGGATCCCGTTCACCCAACGCACACCCGATGGCACTGCACTCCAGTTGGGAACTACAGGCTGCAGGACTCTGGGGGAAGACACCGCTGAAAGGGGCACACCTGGAACTCCCTGCCTGATGCCCACAGACACGGCCCAGTGAATACTCAGAAGAGGGACAGGACCTGCCAGGATCGGCGCAGCCGGGGGCAGACGCATCCTCAGGCCTCACCCCTTGGGTGCGGTTAAATGCCCACGGGCCAGACCCAGGGGCCAGGCTGAAGGACGCACCCACCCGAGCTCGCGCTCACCCCGAGAGAACTCAGGACTCAGGCAAGCGAGACAAGACCTTGGCAGAACCTATGGCATCGGGAACTCACTGGGGTGTGGAGGGGCCTGGGACATGTGGATCCCACTGGAGCTGTGGGTCTCTGCACGAGGCATGACAGCCACGTGGAGCCGGAATCCCGTGGTGATTTCGCCTGAGAAAACAACATGGTGCTGCCTTCCAAGGACACCTGGACGCCAACCCAGCCACCCCGACGTTCATCCTCCCCATTCTTCTATCTGTTCCCTTCTTCTCCATCAAGCTGACCCTCACACCTGGTGTGGGAGGCGGCCGACAGCCCTGTCCGCAAACACATTCACGCCTGCATCCCTGGACCCTCTAACTGTGTTACCTTACGTGGCGTTGCTTGCCGCCCTCAGCTCCCCCAGAGAGAGTCTCAGAGGATGCCAGAAGCTGCTTCTCTGGGAACACACTCTTTGACACTAAACAGCTAATATTTGGTCACTGAGCAAACGAGTAAAGACAGCTTCTGTGGATGGAAGATTGGAAGGTTTCTCTCCTTCCTAAGTGGACGGGAGGCACCATGAGGGCAGTGGCTGGTTGAACAAGTACCAAAGAAAACTGCATGAAACCAAGAATCCATGTTCACACTGTTGAATTAAAACTCCCTCCGACTCAACTCAAAGAGAAAACGAGAAAGGTCAGGAAACTCTGTTTTCAGGAGTTGCAGCAGTTGCAATGACCCTATTGTGGGTAACAGGGAGGATTTAGAATTTAGCACCTGTCTCTAAATATACAGCGTGAGACACCCAAGAGGTTCTGAAGATTACTGAGGATGCCCATTAGTGATGCCTGCGAAATGCTTAGGGCTGGGGGCTCAGGGCTCCCTACACGGCTTTGACGGCATGAAAACGAGTACCAGCAACACAGAAAAGACTGTGGTTCCCGACCCCCTGCCTTCCCTAAGAAGGCAGCCTAGATCTTTCAGACCCCAGAAGATGAGGGCCAAGACACCGTGGATGCGTGCTTCTAAGGACTTCACATTTTCATGGTTCGCTTTATGTAGAAAATAAACAAAATGTCGTATTTTACAGCCGCAGTTTTCTGGGTGCTCTGCCTACTTATTCATCAAGTCACCTCCGTGAAGAAATAAGAACACCTATTTGTCACATGACTGAGCAGATAGTGATCAGGGTTTCTCAGCCTTGGAAGCACTGACATTCAGGACAGGACGATTCTCGGTGGGGGGAGATGGGACGATTCCCCGTGATGGGGCCTGGGCAGCTCCCTGGCGGGTGTTCAGCAGGGTCCCTGGCCTCCCCCCACTCCACGCCTGGAGCCCACCCTCTCACCCTGTGTCATGACAACCACAATGTCTCCAGACACTGCCACCTATCCCCTGGGGGACACAATCACCCCCAGTGGAGAACCACCCATTTACTTTCCGCATGTCACCCTTCTCACCGTCTATAAAATCATCAGTGAAACTTTGCTCCTGGACGTAACATGATTACGGCTCACTCCCTGTGGTCTCACAGTCGGGCAGCTTGGCTTCTGTGGGACGATTTGGAAACTGCAACCCATCAGAATGACTGAGCTTCTCCTCGCGCCCACGAGCACACGTTCAATGCTAACACATAACGTTCCCCGGCCATAACATCCCCCCGCCGGTTACAGAAGCCCTTGGATTCCTGTGCACTTGGGCAACACTCTCCCAGGGGCTTTTCAAAGAGGACCCGAGCCTCCGAATATTCCTTCTCCTCTTGCCTGACCTGTTGCTTATCCGTCTCTGGTCCTCGCGGCCCATCTCCCCGACCGTGCCTTTTCATCAGAGGTTCCTTCTCCAGTCATCTTGCCTGGATGAAAGGATCCTCACCCCCAGGCGAGGACAACTTGGAGCTACACCTTTCTCTCTCTCGATCAATCTCCCCACTCATCTACCCCACTTCCAAAGACCTTTCCATAAATGCAAACTCGGCACCCTCGCCCTTCCTCTACAGATACCGAGCCAGGGAAATGTGACCATTCCATCTGCACTTCTAGGAAACACCCTCTCATCCCCAACTCTCTCGGGTGGCTTTTCTGTTTCTTGGGAGGTAGAGGAAGGAGTGGAGGCTTAAGAGTCAGGGGTCTCAGCTCAGGCCAGCAGTCATGAGGTCTTGGGCATAAAGCATGATCTCCTTGAGTGAGTAGTATATCACCGAGATGCTATCTGCGGTATGGAGCATTCCACTGAGAGGCTGGAAATAGGGAGTCTCCACGAAATCAGGATCTCAAAGAGAGACATACCCATACTCCACTTCACTACAGTCTTAGTCACAATAGCCAAGATGCAGAGACTACCTTAGCATCGAGGGATGGATGAATGGATAAAGACAATTCCATGGTATCACGGAATGTTACTCAGACTCAAAAAGAGGGAAACTCGGCCACGTGCGACAACATGGATACATCTGAAGAACGTTATCCTAAGGGAAATAAGCCAACAGCGGAATCGCATAAAATGTATGATCTGACTCATGTGTGGAATCTAAAAAAAGTGTTGAATTCATAGAAGCAGAGGGTATAATGGTGGTTGCCATGGGTCAAGGCGGGAGGAGAAATGGGGGGATGTTGGTCCAAGGGTATAAACTTCCAGTTAGAAGATGAGTAAGTTCTGAGAAGTAACATACAGCAAGGTAACTATAGTTAATAATACTGTACTATTGACTTGAAATGTGCTTAAACAGAAGACCTTAAGCATTCTAACCATTTAAAAAAAAACCTGATAACTGTGTGAGGTGACGAATGTGTTAATTAATTTGACTGTGGTAATCATTGCATAATGTATACCTGTATCGAATCGCTGTATTTTCATTTTAAATACATACAATTTTACTGGCCAATTATACCTTAATTAAGCTTGAAAAAAAAAGGAACATTCCCTTCCTCCAGGAATAAAAGATGCAGTGTGAGACAAATATAACTTTTTGGGAGTATTCTAATCTACCAATAACCCTGCAACTAAAAGTCATTCACTGACAGTTCAACCAGAGCCATTTCAATTTAACAAATGCTTATGGGATTAAGAACTGGCAAAGAGACATCATGACAGTCTCGTGGTGGTTTCATGGTTGAATGAGACACAGAACCGCTCTGCAAGGACCCAGCTGGCCCAGGGAGGGAGTCCGTGAGCCCAGAACCCACTAAAATGAGCAGCAGACTGACAGACGGGGTCCCTGCAGATTAGATCTCAATCCTGGCTCCCCTACTTCCTAGCAGAGAAACCATGGGGTGTTCATTCAGCCTCTTGGTCGACATTTTCTTCTGTAAAATGGGGATGACTGTGAGGATAACATGGTATACGTAGCACTATGATTCAGTTAGGGACTCACAGGGGCCACGACTTGTTAGTTGTAGCTATCAGCACTGTCATTACAGTTCTGTGAAACCAATAATAAGTAGCAGAATAGAGCTTTAAACAAAAATGCGGGGTGCAACTAAAAGATGGCCTAATGACACCAACCCTGGAATTCACATCTTGCATAACCCCCTCCCCGCGGCTAGACCTTGCAACTCTGTCCCAACCAACAGAAGATGGACATAGTGGTGGGACATCACTTCTGTGATTAGGCTGCAAAACACGATAACCTCTATCTTTTTAGCAGATTCTACCTCATGCTGGATTTTGATGAACTGAGTTGCCACACTGGAGAGATCCCATGACGAGGAACTGAGGGAGGCCAGCTTGGGACTCTCAGGCCAATAGCCTACAAGGAACTCAACCCAGTGAGGTTATAAATGGACCCTGCCCGCATTGAACCATCAGATGAGACCACCGCCCTGGCTGGTACCTTCATCAGAGCAGACATGCTAAGCTGTGCCTGGGTTCCCGACCCACAGTGCCTGGGAGATAACAAATGTCTGTTGCATTAAGCTGCTAAGTTTGGGATGGGGTCGTTTGTTACACAGCAGTAGATACCTAATACAAAGTATAACAGCTGAAGATGAGGAGTTCAGTTGTGTTGATGAGGACCTGAAAAAAGCTTTCCATGGTGGTGACTCACAAGGTCATGATGGACCCATTTTACGAAAATGTTTCATTATGAGTAAGTGGTCAGAATTTATGTAAGTAATTTAGAGATATGTGGCTCAGCTCAACAAACATGTAAAAATTGAATTTGTTTTACAACTGAAAATTGAAAATGCCAGAAGAGGAAGAAAGT